CTTCAGTGAGGCCCAAATTTAGTTGCCCAAGTGTGAGACCACAAGATTTGCACATAAATTACCTATAGAGACACACAGTAAAGTATCCTCACAATACTGCATATCCTATTTTCACTAGTATATCCTCATAGCTAATTGAACCCTTTTATACTGTACATATGGAAATGACCTTTCGAGTTTCTCCTTCAAAGACTGCATGAATTGGCGTCTTAGAAAGGATCACGCACCTCGGTTCCAATTTACATGAAAGCTGGGACATGACCGTTGAAGTAAAGACAAGGATAGAAAAAGCTCGAACAGCATTCTTCAAAATGAAAAAGGTCTTCTGCAGTCACGACATAAGCCTAAGACTGAAAATCAGGCTTGTCAGGTGTTATATTTTTTCTATCCTGCTCTATGGAGTAGAGAGTGGGTCTCTGACAGAAGGCCACCTGAAGAGACTAGAAGCATTTGAAATGTGGATTTACAGGCGGCTGTTACGTAGAAGCTGGGTTGACCAGATCAGAAATGAGGAGGTGATAAGCTGTCTGGGAAAGCCCAGGGAAATCATAAAAACAATTAAAAAACGAAAATTAGAATATTTCGGACATGTGATGCGACACCCAGAAAAATACGGCATACTCCATTTAATCCTCCAGGGAAAGATTGAAGGCAAACGAGGTCCAGGCAGAAGAAGAACATCGTGGCTTCAAAATCTAAGGGATGGTTTGGACAAAACTCAGGAGCACTTTTTCATGCAGCTGCTGATAAAAACAGGATCGCCAACATGATCGCCAACGTCTGAAGATAGCAATTGGTTTCCTTCAGAATAATTACAAAAAGCTCCCACATATATTTTAATCTGAAATTGTTATGGTTTGTGTATTTGTGTTTACAGGCTACTACAGTAAGTTTCACCAAATCATTGTAACGTTTCCTTCACCGTCGCTGCTTCTAAGGGTGAAGACACTTCATAAAAGTCAACTTTCACTTAAAAGCTGGTTCGCTTAAAGACTGAGTTGCTGGTCCCATTTGTGATCGCTAAACGAGGACAGCCAGGCTGAAACATCCTCATCTATTCATCTGTCTGTTCTGGAGAGAGTGTAGGGTGGCGTTGGTACCAACCAAGATTTGGAGTAGCTATTTGAGCCCTAGCACTTTCCATTTTTATTTCAGAAAACTTACACAATTACCTTTCCAAATGCCATCTTAGTAAGATGGTTTCATAAAAAGCATAAAACGTTTTACCTGACTAAACAATGCAAGTGGCTGATTTTGTGTCCAGGTGGGAACAGAGCTATCGGATCTTCTGCAAAGATCCACCTAGGCTCTCCTCACAAACTCTGAGGCTATTGGGAATACGGGACGAGCTGCGCTACTGGTTCCCTTGGACCACAACATGTGCAGGTTCCTTTAACCTTTCCGGCTTTTCCATCTCAAAAGGTGAGGTGCAGTGGATGTACTGCTCAAAAGACATTCTACTCAGTCCTCATCTCTGTATCTGTCGCGCTGGCTTCTTAAGGACAGAGCTCGGTTGGGGCTTTGGGTAGGTAGCTTGTCAGTTTTAGTTGAGTTACCTAAGGGATGCACCTGTTCAGGTGACACATTCATGTGAGGACACCAATGGGCAGTCCTTCCCCTCTCCAGGCTGTGAACTGGCAGCAAGGAGCCTTTGCAGACTTTGTAGATGAAGCTTAACAGTGAGGACCCCCTGACTGGTGTGGTGTACTATGATCCCCACTCAAATGTGTCCTCTGATCAGATTCAACTTCACCAAGAGGCCTTTAACCATGCCTGTCTGCTTGATTAGCTATCTCTTGTTTGCCATAATCGCCATTTTGTAGCAGGTACTTGCTGCACACTTCCAAAGGGGTGCCAGGTGTGGTTTGACCATCGTCCCTACACAATCTGCTTCACTGAGACTTTGCAGGGATAGTTGATCTTTGGCCTTCGCCAGTCCACACAGAATCAACCGGAGCCTTGCTAGTCCCCCTTCCTAGTCTTTGCACAGGTAGGATTTAAATGGCAGTGTGAGCCAACTGCACCTTATCCTCACATTTTTGTTTTCAAGTTGCTGATATTTGTAATTTGTGCATAACATTTGGAAGGGGCCAATTGTCCCATACTCCACCACAGGAAGAAACCCACAATTTGTTCAGGATTTACAATGATCTGATTGGTCAATAATGTTCATTTATATCATAAAAGTTAAGTTAATGTTAAATATAATAGGCAGCAGTTATCCTAATATTTTAGATTTCCCTACAAAGAGATGTCTGTAGGAGAAAATGTCAGCATCCTGAGATGTGGGGAGTGATGTCCATGGGCTCTTCTCATTCTTAAACCTGCATGTTTTCCATTGTAGGAAAGTTACATTTCTAATGTTTGCAGTCACAGAGTATTGAATGTGAAAGATTAGACACTAAGGGAGAGAAGTAATTAAGCCAAACAGGGACATGAAGAATATTTCTGTTTCTCTGCTCCTGTAACTTCATGATCTCTAAACTCATTCTCAAATTCCTGAATTTGCAATTCCTCTGAAGTGAGAGGAAATGCCTCAGAGGATGAGTGTGAGGGGTCCTTGGTGGATGACTGTTGCTAATGTAATAATGTGCACCTAATTTATTATGCAATTAAAATATCTTGACTGGTATGAGTCCTCATTATTTCAAGAAGGGCCAAAAAACTAACTCTGGATCTTGTGCTTGAGTGGAAAAAAAAATGAAACTTTGATTGTGGGCTTTACCAATTAGATAGATTTGATGTTATAGAAATGGCTAGTTTATATTATTTTGTAAAAGTAAAAAAATTGAGGTTTGAAGTTGATACTCTATTGCACCAAAAGAAGTTGGAAGTCAACGTCTCCCCCCTTTTTTTCTTCCTTATATCACTTCTCTACTCCCTTTTCCCTTTCCCATCTTTTCCGCTATTTACTTTGCATTTTGATTGTATTGTAAACTATAAACTAATAAAACTTTGTAAACCCGAAAAGGAGAGACACTATACAGTCACTTGTTTGAAATGGTATAGGCCAAGGCTTGAGCAGGGGGTTGGACTAGAAGACCTCAAAGGTCCTTCCAGCTCTATTCTAAATTTGAATTTGACTTTAATATCCAGAATTTAAATGGGCTACACACATACAGGTGTTCAAGAAAATCCCAATTGCCACATGCTGATGCTAATGAATTTGAAAAAGAAATGCATTTATTTGCATTTTTGTTTATGAATTATAATTTCATACACAGACCTTTGTCACATCTTTCTTTTCTTTTAACATTTGGAAACTCTAGATTCTATCTTAGTATAAGTGTCCTGTTGTAGATAAGTTAAAAGTTCTTATTAATTCTTATTATATTCTTAGAAATTGGAGTGACAATGCTGTCATCTTTACTGGTTTTTATCCATTTTTGCTTTGAATGGAATATCAGTTCTTAAAGTACTGAACTGATAAATAATTTTGTTTATATCTGTTCCAGTTCAGTATTACTTATAAGAAAATGGTGGTGTGTTTTTGTTCCTTTTTCTACCAATATCTTATATGATGTTTACATCATATAAATTCTCAATATATTCCTTTTTCTTTCTTTTCAGTCATAGAATAACATCTTTAAAAAAATTAAAAGGAGCTATATATATTTTTAGGGGGTGGAAAACTATTACTGATAATAAACCACCATGTCCTATATTATACTCCTTCCTTCCTTCCTTCCTTCCTTCCTTCCTTCCTTCCTTCCTTCCTTCCTTCCTTCCTTCCTTCCTTCCTTCCTTCCTTCCTTCCTTCCACTCTCTGTAATAGCTGCTTTCAGCCATTAGAGGAGGCCAAAGATTAGGAAACAATGGAAATAAATAGCAATTTCTTTTAAGCTTGGTTCCTAAAATGGACTGGATGAGGAAGATCTCATTGATTCTCTTCTCTTGCCACAAAAATAGCAGAGCAATGAAGCAGAAACACAACTAACCGTTTCCAACGTTTCATCAAAACACAGTGAGGAATCCTTGAAGAACAACTCTTTTAAAGAAAATATTGGCAAATGGGGCTGTTTGCAACTGGGCTAGCTAGATTGCAACAGCCCTTTGTGGAGGAGATGATTGGCAGATTTCAAAGTTTTGTCAACTCACCAAAAACTCATCAAAAAATGAGGTAGGCAGTGATGAGAAAAAAAGAAAAACTCAACAATCAGGAGATGCAAGAAACATACCCACGGACAGGCATAAAGGTCTTAAATGCTTATATACAAATGCTCACAGCTTGGGGAACCAACAGGGTGAACTAGAAGCAAAAGTACACGAGGGAGGGTATGACATAGTTGGCATAACAGAAACCTGGTGGGATGAAACCCATGACTGGAATGTACTGATGGATGGATACAAATTGTTCACAAGAAATAGATCTGGCACCCCCCCCCTTTTTTCACATCTCTTTCCTCCGTGGCCCCAGCACCGCTGGGTATGACGTGAGAGATGCGAGCCGGCTCAGATCATCTCTACCACCACAGGCCCAAACCCATGTCTGGATGCCTCTCCTTTCTCCGTCTGACCAGCCTCTTTTCTTTTCCAACCCAGTCAGCTGCTGCTGTCTTCACAAAAACCCACCACACATGGGGACTCCCCCCCACAGAATAAAGCGCAGCAAAGGGGCAGAGACACAAATTGGGGATAAGCCCTTGAAGGGCTCCTGGAGGGAAAAACTCAGCTTCACGCTTTTCTCCCTTCCACCCAGTGCAGTGGCCCCACCCTGGCTCCATCCCACGAGCTGGAAAGCAACACGAAGGGCCTTGTCATCAGGAGGCATCAAACCTGTCCGGCCGGTTTTTGTGTCTTCCAACCCCCCCCACACACACACCTTCCCCACACTTGTTTGGAAGTGGAAGTGGTTCGGCAGGAGGTAGACTTGCTCAGCGGAAGGTGGAGAAGCACCCATCCGAAGTGGTCCTAAGTGCTCTTCTTCTTGCTGTCTTCTCCTGGGCAAGCTGGAAGAAGATCTACGGGGCTAGAAAAGGTGGTTCCCCCGGTTGGCAGGAAGGAAGAAAAGGCCTTGCTGTCCCCAGGGTCCTCTACTTTGCTAGAGTATCTGGGGACAAGGCCCACTTGTGAAACAAAGCTAGTCTTGGACCCTGCTGGAGTCTGGAATGGGACATGTGGTCCTCGTCCTCCTGGCCCTTGCCTTTGCCCACCGAGATTCGGTCCACTCCCAGCAATGCTCTGCAGGAGGAAACTCTCTCTTGGTCCTCCAGTTTGCCAATGTGGGTGCTGATCAGCACATTCCTGCTCAACACCAAACTCCAGGACCTCTGGGTCCCCTCTATCACCTTGTCCACAATTACCTGGATGTGGTCCAACAGAACCCTTTCCCCACAGGTAAGTCATTGTTCTTGTTGACAAGTTTGGTGTGAGTGCTCTGAATTGGGGTGCGGGGGAGGAAGTGAACATGGCCGTGTGCTCTCAGGAGCAGTTTAATGAGCAGAATGGGGTCAGTGAAACTTTTCATGGCAGGAGATAAGCATTTGCCACCTACTAGAACTTGGGGATTGCAGATCTGAAAGGCAGAAGATCACTGCTCCTTCTCTGCTGGGGAGGTGACGGGGGCTGGAGTGCCGAGAAGAGCAACCAAAGTGATCAGGGCTCTGCGGACTAAATCTTACGATGAGTACTTAAGGGAACTGGGTATGTCCAGCCTATCAAAGAGAAGGACTAAGGGTGACTTGATGGCTGTCTTCCAGTACTTGAGGGGCTGCCACAGAGAAGCACCTGAGGGCAGGAGAAGAAGCAGTGGGTGGAAGCTCATTAAAGAGACATCCAACCTGGAACTAAGGAGAAATTTCCTGGCAGAAATTGTGGGTGCTTCACCACTGGATGTTTTCACGAAGAGATTGGACAGCAGTTTGTCTGGAATGGTATAGGGCAGGGGTAGGCAACCTTGGCTCTTTTATGACTCGTGGACTTCAACTCCCAGAATTCCTGAGGCAGCATAGCTGGCTCAGGAATTCTGGGAGTTGAAGTCCACGAGTCATAAAAGAGCCAAGGTTGCCTACCCCTGGTATAGGGTCTCCTGCCTTAGGTGGTGGTGGTGGTGTTGGACTAGAAGACCTCCAAAGTCCCTTCCATGATTCTAAGAATGTATCTACAAAGCTTTTGAGAAGCAATTTATGTGGACACCTTCTCGATCAATTCCAGTTTGTTAGCCAGTTCCTCCCATACCTTAGAGAAGAGCATTCTAGACCTATCCCTTCTCCAACTGGTTTTTACATTGCATTATCTTCCTAACTTATAATTTACCAACTAAGCCACGTATTCCTGAGTTCATCTGTTGTGCTGAGCTAAAATCTTATACATCATATTAAGGCTGGGTGCAATGTGTGAATTCAACCTGAGAATTCTTTATCAGGGTTGTTTCCAAGATTTCCCTCCAAACCTCCAAAGTGATATTTGTAGTCCCTCAAAATGCAAGCATACTGTAGACTTCATTAGGGGATTTTTTCCCCTAGGAATCAGTGGGAAGACTTTAACGCATTTAAATGTAGTTAAATTTCCTTCGGTCCTACTTCCTAGTGCTTATTAACCAACATTCACTTCTTGGTTTTGAGACAGGACAGAGTTATGTGTGCAATTATATTCAAGTATATATTACAAATTAATATTGAAAGTACAGCATTTAATGATATATATTTTTTGTCATACGTAAGCTAGCAGCTTCTAATGATAGACTTGGCAGGATAGAAACATGTTACTTAATGAAACATTTCAGAATATTTAAAAATAATAGTATGTTCCCAAACAATTTGGGAAATATGTTACACTTGCACATCTAAATGTTTTGCAACATTTTGTTATGAGGACAGAGCATAAGTTGTTAAATAATTCAGTTTGATATTTTTTTTGAAGAATTGCGGGAAAGAAAAGTTGTACCTGTATTGTACATTTATATCCGTATTATACAAAAGCAAATTAGCTAATTATTGTATTTCATTCTCTTTCAATATACCCAACAATATGGGACTGAGGACCATGAAAATGGATAGCTTGGGAGCACCACCATAATAAATGATCTAAGGTATTCATTTAACAGGGGTTTTCACTGGCTTTTCAGGATAAAATAAAACCCAGCAAAACATACTTTTAAATGCAAATAATTGGCATATGAAAGCAATGAAATGGGCATGGGTAATCTTTAGAAACTAGAAGGTGTGCCAATCACCACAATGATGCCACATTGAGGGGGTCAAGATTTTTGGGCTCTTTCTAAAGCAATGCTGGTCTCCCACCCCAAGTTCCCAGGGGTGCTCCTATGGTACCCCCCCTCTGCCACATGACTTCTGGAAGACTTCCTACAGCCGGAGGAGACCCCAGAAGTGAACTGACCCTGGGATGAGCTAAAGGCAGTCCCTGCTCTCCCTCCAGGAGGCAAACAGCATTGCCTCCACAAAAGAAAGACCCCTGGAGGTGAAGGAGAGCAACCTATGAGTAAGGTCTCAGTTGGAGGGACCTCTGAAGTCCTCAAAGACGGTAATCTGATGAGCGGGAGAGGACGGGAGAGTACCCGGCTGCTCAGATTGCCTAGCTGTGATAAGTATCTTAGGTCATTAACTCTGGCAATAATTGCCTTCCGCCACTCCGTCTGATCCTGCTCATTACCTTATTGCAGCCTTACTTAAGAGTAGAACTTGCACAAGGGCTCCACGGAGGCTGGGGAGAAGCCCAGTACCCTCCATTGCCTCTTCCACTCACAATTACAAGAGAAGAGGGGTCTCTCTTTGCTTTTAAAATAGTCTTGTCCCAAAAGAAGGAGCCATCAAGTTTGCTCTTGGGGACCCCTAGGAGACTGCCCTCGCCTTCCTCCCACCAAGCTAATCCTTGGCTCCCCTCCCAAACAGGAAACGGGGGAGGAAACATTCACACCGAGATTCTGGGTCAAGTGTGCCTTAATGAAGGGATGGGGAACTGTACCATAGTACATTCATTGTGATGCACATAAAAACGGGAGGGCTTCAGCTGCAGAGTGCAGATGTCACATTGGCTTGTTGTTCACCTCTCTGTCTATTGTGGGTGCTTTGCTGATTGTTGTTGGGGGAGGACAATGTCATCTCCTACCCCTGTCCAGAGAACCTGAGATGTAATCTCAACAGGTGCAGCAGATCTGCAGAGAGGGGGCTTGTGCGCAAACATAAAAATGGGCAGGGCTTGTATTTCACGGTGTGGTCACCATCTTGACCTTGTTTGACCCCCCCCTCTCTCCAGACACAAGCAGAGACTCTACCATTCAGTGGGACCTTAGTCAGGCCCAAAGGCACGGAAATGAACCTCTAGGATCCTTCGCCACATGGAAGCTTTCTATTTCATTGGATTTCTTTTCTTGTTTGAAAAGTTACTCGAAAAGAGAGCCAAATAAGCACCGAAGGAGATCTCCAGAGGCATGTTGGGACTGGTGGCTCACCCTTCCCTGTTCGTTCTTTTCTTTCTGCAAATATTTAATGCCATCTCTGATGCTGAATAGAGAGCAATTTCTGCACTAGGAGGCAGAGTTACATTCCGACTTTTGCGGCTCCTGGACGCTTTTGTGATCACGGGGCCTCCTTTCCTAAAAACAATAGCATTAAAAGTTATATTTGGTAGGATTTTCAATGCAGTGTTTGTATTTTGCAAAGACAAGGGAAGAGAGAATAGGACAATAAACAGCAGATTATATGTATTATGCTGCAACAGTGATCAGTTGTGGCCGATTCCTTATGATTCCTGTTACATGTCTTCAAAGTTACTACATTTTAGAATGTAGGCTGCATTTTATAGATTACAAATAAGATCACGTGTTGGATGTTCAGATTTTGTATATTTCCTGCCTTTTTCCTTTAATAAAAAGGCATGGTAATAAAATAAAGACTTTTCAAAAGGCATGGAAATAAATATTTTGTAAAAGGCAAGGAAATAAAGATTCCTTAAATCTACAGTATATACTACTAAAACTCTGTTTGAGTCTGTTTGATTCAGCGATTGGTAAAATTGGCAGGGTAGAGGGTAACCATGATTAAAACAAGGTACTCAAATGGGCTACCTTGTGTTTAGAATTATAGAATGCTACAGTTGGAAGGGACCTTGGAGGTCCTCTAGTCCAACCCCCTGTTCTTATACAATCCCAGGCAACTGTTTGTCTAGTCTGTTTTTGAAAATCTTCAGTTATGGAGCACCCACAACTCCAGGAGGCAAGCTGTTCCGTTGATTAATTGCTCTGCCAGAAAATTCCTCCTTAGTTCTAGGTTGGAAGTCTCTTCAATGATCTTCCACCATTAGTTTTTGTTCTGCCCTGAGGTGCTTTGGAGAATAGGTTGACGCCTCCTCTCTATGGCAGCCCCTTAAATACTGGATGTCTTTCTCTTCGATTGGCTAGAGTAGACATACAGACCACCCTCAACCATTCATCATATGATTTAGCCTCCAGAGCTCTTATCTTCTTTGTTTCTCTTCATTGTGCACTTTCTAGGGTCTCATGATCTTTTTTGGATCGTGGCGATTAGAAAATAAAAAAGATCCTGAGACCCCAGAAAGTGCACAATGAAGAGAAACAAAGAAGATAAGAGCTCTGGAGGTTAAATCATATGATGAAACTTAAGAAGGGACCCAGCTCCTGGCTGTCGGAATCATGGAATCCTAGGGCTGCAAGGGACCCTAAGAGGTCTTCTAGTCAAACCACCTGCTCAAGGCAGGAGTTCTTATACCATCCCATCAAAATCTTTGTCCAGTCTTTTCTTGAAGATCTCCATTGAAGGAACACCCACAACTCTGGGAGAGAAGCTGTTTCATCGGTTAATTGTTCTCACTGTCAGGAAATTTCTCCATAGTTCTTTAATATGTCTGCAAAAAAATAAAAATAAAATTGTTTTATTCCACAGAGCTGTTGAAGGATGTCCTGAATGAGCCACCCACTGCTACAACTTCTGAGGTGAAAAAGTGAGCTGTTTCTTCAGGGGTCTGTGTTGGCTGTCACAACTCAGCATCTACAACAATCCTCCCTCATCTCTCAAAGTGCTGGGTTGCAATTCCCAAAATCCTTGGACAGATGTTTAGAAATTCTGCAAGATAAATGCTCGGCACACCTGGGAATCTCCCTATTTGACCAAGAATTTTATTTGTAGAAAATGTCTTGTTAGGAAATATATGAATGGGAAATATCTGACAGTATTGATATTTGGTAAGGATTTAGCATTCGTAATGGGTGCGACAGCAAAAGATTTTGAGGAAAAAGGAATGATTTTTTTTAGATTTTTAGATTTATATTTATTAGATTTTTTTATACAAGATGATGAACATACCTAATATTTCTTTCTCCTTCTCTTTTTCCCAACTAACAACCTTGTGAGTTGGGTTGAGCTAAGACTGAGAGCTGACCTAAAGTCATCCAGCTGACTTTCAGGCCTAAGGCAGGACTAGAACTCACAGTCTCCTGGTGATTGGCCCAAAGTCACCCAGCTGGCTTTCACGCCCAAAGTGGGACTTGAACTCATGGTCGCCCAGTTTTCAATCTTAACTACTTAACTTAACTACTACGCCAAACTGGCGATTACATTTAAATTATATAAAGAGATCTTCTGATCATAGTGGTGACTTTAGCCAGGGCTGCTTTTGTTCCTTGGAAGGAGTCATCAGAGGAGGTCTCAGTCTCCTGGTTCCTTGGGCACCAAGGCCTAGAATCAACCCTCAATTCCATTTAATTCTATTTAACACGTTAACAAAATGCAAAGCATCCGTGCCTCTTTTTTCTCTACTCAACCCCTTCATGATGGACCGTTTGCAGTTAACAAAAGATGGGATGTGATTTTAGATTCACAGTATCAAATGGGGAGATGAGCAAGATAAATCATTCTCTGAAGATTATTTGTTTTCATTTTTCTTGCTCCTCAGATCCTTCGATACCAGGCAGGCTATGTTGTTTGTGTTGCAATTGCAATTCTCTACTTTGTGATGGTGCCCCTGATCGGACTGAGCCTTTGCTGCTTCCAGAAAAACCGGCACTGCGGTGGACGGATCAAGGCCTATCGCCGCTCTCTGCTCTGCCAGCGGAATCTTCTCATGATCTGCCTGCTCCTCACCACCCTCCTCATCCTGTGAGTGAGGGGCTGAGCCAGATCCGTGATGGCGTTTTGTTGTCCCCAAACAGATGCGGGGGCCGGGAAGGACAGGAAGGTGAACCAGCACATGAATCCGACAGAGATGCTGAAGCTGTAAATTCAACGCTAAGAAGTGCTGTTCTGAATGCAGCAGAGCCGATCAAAATAGCCATCATGGTCTCAAACCTGGCAACTTCAAGACATGTGGACTTCAGCTCCAAGAATTCCTTAGCCAGCATAAGTAACTCATGCCGGCAAACATACCTAATACTTCTTTTTCTTCCTATTTTCCCCTCCCAATTTTATTTCTATTTTCCTGCCTAGAATAGTCCCACATTGAGATAAATTTAGCAAATAAATAAACGACAAATAAACAACAAATCTGTGGGCTGAGAGAGAGTAACCGATCCAGGCAATTTTCACGCCTAAGGCAGGACTAAAACTCACTGTCTCCGGCTTTCTAGGCCAGCATCTCAATCTTATACCGAAGTTGTAGTCCACATGTCTAAAAGTCATCAAATTTGAGAAACCAGATCTGAGAGGGATCCAAAGGGCAGTGGTTAGAATGCAGTATTGCAGGCCGACTGCCAGCAGTTTGATTCTGATTGGCTCAAGGTTGACTCAGCCTTCCATCCTTCTGAGGTCGGTAAGATGAGGACCCAGATTGTTGGGGGCCATAGGCTGACTCTGTAAGCAGCTTAGAGAGGGCTGTAAAGCACTGTGAAGCCGTATATAACTCTAAGTGTTATTGCTATTGCTATCTAGGTGCCCTTAGAGGATAACCACTTAAGTATGAGCCAGCAATGTGTTGTACCTGCCAACAAAGCCAACGCAGTCCCAGGCCGCACCAACAGAGAGATAGAAACAAGATCATGTGAAGTGTTAATCTTGATAGTTAGGCCACATTTGGAATACTCCAAGGTCCCTTCCAGCCCTAGAATGCTTTGATTCTAAGCAATGGTGGATGTATTCAACCTAGTCATGGTCACAGGATCCCAACTTAGACTTATAGCTCCAGAGTCCTTAAGCTTCAACTTGGCGGACTATCAGTTCTCACTCTTTGCAACTTTGCTTGATGGCAACCTCTGTCTTTAGGGGCTGCAGGTGAGAGACTGGAGCTACAGAGTTTCAAAGACTAAACAGGGTTTGGTCTGATCTGAATCGAAGCTCAGATTTTCCTTTTTTGGAACTTTCAGGTGTAGGTGTTATGGCCTTTTGAAGATCAAGAGTGCCATGTAAGCACGGGTCTATCATCTGCTTAAGAAACCAAGATGGTTTAAAAATACCCCCTACCCCAAAAGCAAAATATGTACATATGTTAAAAATACAGAATGGATAATGATGCCAATTCAGCACCCCTGTCCTGGACCATCTCTGATAGATGGCCAACCAGCCTCTGCTTATAGACCTCTGACTCTGGGTCTGTGGTTTAATGGCTGCACCAGTTTCCAGGCAAGAGAATTTAGAGGAGATCTAGTCTTGATTTTCTTCTCCTAAGTAAAACCGGTCCTCTATTTCCTGCAATGTCTATGTGCCATTTTCCACCAGGGGGTGCGTTATCTGTGCTTTTGCTGCCAACCAGAAGGTAAAAGAGGAAGTGGATCCTGGTGCCCGAGACACACTCAACACCCTGAGGACATTGAGGAACCATCTGAATGGGATTCCTCGAGTGAGTTGACTCTGAACAACCCAGAGGAGCAATCGGTTCAAAGACATAGCACATCGAGTTGGTGGCTTTTTTCATCACATAAAAAACCCGGCAGAGCTTTGACAGCCACCGCAAATTTGATGGCCCCGCGTTTCTGATATCTCTGAGAAAACCCATTTTTAGATCATTCTAAGTTTGGGGATCCAGAAGGGAAGCTTGTTTGTGCCACAGAGCTTCAGTGCTGTGTTTGAGCATCTCCCTCGGCACTTATTCCCAGCGTCACACGGTCACCATGGCAACGCCTTCGCTTGGCCATGTTTTCCAGGCTGCAAACCCCTGGCAGCTGCAAAGCAGGGCGGGGGGGGGGTCACAACTGAGCCTCATTATGCCGACAGCCCTTTCAATTTCTGCTGAAAGAGTTTTGTTGCACAAAGGGAGGCTTTGAGAGGGGGAGAATGGGGGGGGAGGAGGGGGACCAGGAGCTACCCCCCCTTCTCTTCCTCAAAGTCAGGATAGGCTGCCTCTGGGGGAGGAAACGGGGTCAACCTCACAGGCCCTGGAGCCCCCCCTTCTACCTCCCAGTTCCCCATCTGGGGGGGCAAGGCTGCAGAAGGGGGGGGCGTGTTTTTCAACCTTGGCAACTTCAAGATGTGTGGAGTTCAACTCCCAGAACTCTCTAGCCAGTACAGGTAGTCCTTGATTTACGACCACAATTGAGCCCAAAACTTCAGTTGTTAAGTGAGACCTTTGTTAAGTGAATTTTGCCCCATTTTACAACCTTTCTTGCCATAGTTCCTCACTGAATCACGACAGGTATTAAGTGAATCTGGCTGCCCCATGGACTTTGCTTGCCAGACGGTTGAAAAAGATGATCGCGTGACCCCAGGATCACTGCAACCGTCATAAATAGGAGCCAATTGCCAAACGTCTGAATTCTGATCACGTGACCATGCAGAGGCTGCAACGGTCGTAAGTCCAAAAAATGGCCATAAGTCACTTTCTTCATTTTCAATGGTCACTAAATGAATTGTTGCAAGTTGAGGACTACCTGTATGTTTTTGAGACCACGATCCAAAATTAGCTAACAGCCTTGCTGTAGGTTAAATATCCAAGTCTGAAATCTTTACACAAATCTCCCAGTTTGGGGGAACATCAGGCCAAGTTGTGTTTTACAAAAGGCCAAAACAAAAAGCCCCAATGTTGAGTCACCGGGCCTGGGGCCGATCCCAGCCCTTCTGCCTTTCCTTTGGCTGCTGACAATTGGTTTTCCTCTCCTTCTGCCACAGGGACTTCGGCTGACGGTGGAACAGTTCAGAGTCCCCCAAAGGCAAATTCTCAGTGACCTGAACAGTAAGTCCCCTCCTCTTCTGCTGCAGATCCTCCGTGAGAGATTTTGCACCAATTCAGCCTTTGTGCTTCTAGGTCAGTTGCATAAATGATTCAAAACGATGCTCATTATGTAGTGCCTAATTCAGTAGCTGCATGATATAATTGGAGATGAGTTAGGGGTACGCAGCTCCTGTCCCAAAGGGGAGACAGTGGGAGATGCATTTTCTCCCCTGGGGATTTCACCGGAGGTGGTATTGTGCCTTGCAGATATTAGCTGGAACATCGGCAGCACCATCCACTTTCTGCTCAAGGAAATGGTGTATTCTGCTCTGGCTGCCATTAAGGGCAGAGTACAAGGTAAGAAAGTCTTTCCTTCTGCTTTTGGCTTTTTCTTCTTTCTTTTTCTTAAGGCAACCCAGTCTTCGGTGATAACTATAATGGGCAGAAGAAATAACCTTGAGGAACAAGAAAGAGAATCACAGCAGTAGATAAGAGAAACCGGAGTCCTGGATAGAAATGTAATTTGAGAAAGTAACTCAGAGTTTACTCCCCCTTGTTCTCACAAATAAGAAGTGAGATAATTATATTAATAATAATAATTCATAGAAGTGGAATGAATCTTCATGATTTCTAGCCTGGTCTCTCCTGGAGGGCTGATGGCAACTTAGGTTAGTGCAATGCCTCTTACTGGAATGGGATGAGCAGGTCCTTAGTGTGGAACTCTGGGAGTTGTAGTTCGACATACCTGGTGAGCATCAGACCAGGGAAAGCCGGTCTGGGTTGGCCATACCAGCGTTCACTCACGGCAGCTCTTTCATCTACCCTACTTGATAGGGACACATCCCAATTTGCATGGTCAACAGTGGAATATTTTCAGAAAAGACAATTAAAGGGCTGGAGCAACTTCTAATGGGAAAACATTGCAACATCTCGGATGCCTCTTGGGGTGAAGGTGGATAAAAGGAGACATCATATAGGGGCAGAGAGCGCTTTCTGTTCTGTCTCATTTGCAACCTGGGGGCATTCATTAAAACTCTAAAGAGAGATTCCAGACAGATAAATGAAAGGACAGCTCGGAGTTAAGCTAGGGAGTTTGCTACCCTCAGATGTGACGATAGCCTGGGGTGACCTCGGCAGTAGCTATTAGTCTGGATCAGGGCTGCATATTACCTACTAAATCAAAGGGCCGTGCAAGGACTGCCAGCTGTCAGGAGGGCAGGATTTCGCCTTTCACCTGCTGTTCCGCGCGTGTCAGGTTCTTTTAAGGCATTCTCTTGTGTGCCCTGGGCCAGAGAGATCCAAAAGGGAGTAAAAATGTCAAAGTGGCAGCTGTAGCCATGCTCTTAAAGCTCAGCCCTTTGTGAGGTCCTTTGATGTAGACAGCGTGAGCAGCGCCACTGTTTCTCCATGGATTTCGTAAACCTTGTTGTATGATGGCCATAGTTCCAGCTCATGGTAGCAAATTCCACAGTGAGCTATAAACAGCAGAGCTTTTAGAAGGAAAAACTCGTGCAGGCAGTCCTTGGTTTACAACCATTCATTTACTGGCTGTTCAACATTACAATGGCACTGACAAAAAGGGACTTATGACCGTTTTCAAATGACCGTTGCAGCATCCCCGTGGTCACGTGATCAAAATTCAGATGCTTGGCAACTGGCTACTATTTATGATGGTCGCCGTGTCCCAGGGTCTTGTGATGACCTTTTGCGACCTCCTGACAAGCAGTGTCAATGGGGAAGCCAGATTTAATTAACAAGCATGTTACTAATTTAACGACTTCAATGATTCACTTTACAACTGTGGCCAGAAAGGGCGTAAAATGGGGCAAAACTCGCTTAAGAACTGCCTTGCTTAGAACATTTGGGCTCAGTTGTGGTTGTGGTTAGTTTGCTAGCGTGGAATGTATTACGGCTTTGCCCAAAAACATCAGGGCCTCCCATCTATGGATGACCTTCCTCTTTAAGACCTAGAGAGCTCCTTGCGCCACTTGCACGCGATCCACAGGACTGTCCAGGCCCTGATCCGGGACCAGGAGGAGCTGGCGTCGGCGCTGAAGGATCAGAAGCAAAGTCTCACTTCTCTCCTGGAAGAGCCGCACTGCACGTACTGCGTGGGGGCCCTCAGCAGAGCTCAAAATTTGAAGCTGGGGGTTGACTTCCAAAAGGTAAGCCAATCCAGATCCTGACTGCACCCGAATGGAAATGGTGCATCAATCCAAAATCTGCCTTGGAAAAATTAGCCGGTTAGGAAACATGCTTCTGATATGAAATGGACCTTGTTGTACTGTACAACAAGGTATAGATCGGTTGGCATAAAGATTAATCCCTTGGATTCCAGGGATTCATCTTTTACAAATCATTTCTTTCTTCAGGTGCCTTCTGTTGAAAAAGTTTTGAAAAATTTGCATGGGCTGCCTCGGACCAATTTCTCTGAAATGATTCACAAAGTAAGTGAAGAAGGATTCTTGAAGGGATCTCCCTTTTAGCAAAACGCATATTTGTCTCCAGTTTCATTGTTAAAAAATATTGTTTTTATGTTTCTAGGCCTATAGCAGTTTCAATGCAATTCCACAGTTTACGGTAATGAAAATGGATAAAGTTGTTCAAGGTAAGTGACGTTTTTCCAGGAAAACATGACCTGGATTCACACAATGGCATCCGGAGGATATCAAAAAAAGTCAAGTTGGTGGCCAGGAACACACAATTTGAATTATTCTTATAACTATTTGTTAAATTTTGCTTCCTACCTTGCCTTCAGGCTACTCTAGGTGGCTTACAATAATAAAAAGGAAGAAAATGAAAGGAGTGTAAACAGAATAGAAATAAATAATAAAACAATAAAATAAACAAAAAGGAACACAATGAGAATAATGCTTCAGTATGAATCCCCTCCCTTTTCTGCCGTACATTGCACCGCATGTAAAAAAGGCAGGGTTGTTTTTTGTAGTTGTGTTTGTTCACCTGATATTTCTAATGTGAACAGAGGCAGCCAGGGAATCCTCATTTAGCACCCACAACTGGGACCAGCAACTCGATTGTTAAGCGATCACGAACTAAAAGTGCAACTGTGCTTACGGTCTTCTTTTATTCTTTCCTTTGTTTTATAGACCTGCAAAGGTCATAAATGCAAAGATTGGTTGCAAAATTACTTTTTCATCACTGCCATAACTGTGAACAGTCACTAAACCAAGCAGTTGCTAAACGAGGATTACCTATACTGTTACATCAGATGGAGCATTAATTTTACTAGATTTTACTAATCCGGGTGAAACGTTAATATACTGTATATTGCTAGTCCATATGATATGTCATACGATAAATAAATAATTATAATGGAGCACCATTTGGGCCAGACAATTAGATTAAGAACCAGCATGGGACCAACATCTGATTTCTGTGCTGGAGCCCACACAAAGCCAGCATAGTGGGATAACCAGTGGACATCCCTATCCCAGTCCACCCTCAGCTACAGAAATCCGCCTAGTGACTTGGACCCAGGCTTAATTTTCCAGCCTAACAATCTCATGGGATTATGGTCCAGGATTTAAAACTGAAGGAATGGAGCGCTGCATGTGTTGCCTTCAGCTTCTGGAGGAAGGATTGGAGAAATATCTAGCTCCTAAGTAAATCAGATAGAAAGACTCAACAATGTTCCATCATAACTGTAAGAGTTTGGTGGATCCTCTGGCGATCATGATTTGACTGTCCAAATGATGTAAGATCTGCATTGGATATGTTTTGGCACGAGGACCATGAGGACACCTGCATGGTGGATGCCATTGATGGTAACCCTTTGCTTTCCTTGCAGAGCTGAAGAAGGACATTGAGAAAGCTGCCCAAAAGGTCCAGTTTGTTGCAGATGACTTCCCCATTTCTGATCACACCCGTCCCATGAATGATGCCTTGGCGAAGGCAGAGAATATTAGCCGCCCTTTCCTGAAGGAGGTGAAGCATTTTGAGAGATACAGGTAAAACAGAGAGGTGGGCAGAGCAGATACTTGGCAAATATCCATCAGGTAGCCCGCTAAGAAACCCCACACGCCTAACATTTGAGGGGACCGAGAACTCTAGTGAATGAAGCGGTAATATAATATGGGCAGAGCTACAGCGCACATTTGACCAGCCTGGACAAAGAACTTCCTTACAGAAATCATAATAAAGGTGGGATACAAATAAATAAATTATCGGACCAGGACTTTGGGCACTGCAAAAATGGGGTTGGAGGATCAAGCTGGTCATCCCTGACCTAGGAGAAGACCCAAGATTGAGAAAGTCACCGAGAGAACTTGTAGGAGGACCCACTGTTGATGCAGAGTTTGTACATGAAAACCTTTCATTGACTACAGCAGTTCCAAATACTTTTATATAGGCACAAATATTTTGGTTGATTTATTACGTGCCATCAAGTAGCTTTTGACTCCTAGCAACCCCATAGGCAGATTTTCTGTCCCTAACCTGACCTTTCAGGTCTTTCAGCATTGTACCAATTGCCAATATAACTGAGTACAAATGTTAGCTTTGGGTAGCCAGAAGGAGGAGGGCAGGTGAGTCAAAAGAGTGAAGTTGGTGGCTTCAATTGTGGGCCACAGATGCCATCTAGAATTGTTGGGGTTTTTTTTACACAAACACCATGGATGCCACGTCTGTAAAACACCCCTTGCACTTCTCCACCCTATTTAAACATTTCTAATTGAACTGAAATAGTATACCACATTTCTGGTGGATAAGTTAAGAACTGACTTAGAGCCTCAAGTTGTCTTCTTCTGATTCCCCACACCTTTTTTTGTCTTTGCCAGGTGGCTTGCAGGTATAATAGCATGCACAATTACCCTACTGATTGTCTTCTGTAATGTTCTGGGCCTTTCCTTTGGCACTTACGGATTGGTTGCGCGAGAGGATCCCAGCGACTACGAGATCCGGGCTGAAGCTGGGGCCAAATTTCTCATCACGTAAGAATTCTCAGATGTCATCTCTAGCAATAAAGGAGCAAAATAAGGAGGACAGAATGTGGCTATTTCTAGGTACCTGCATCTAAGCAGAGGCGTCAAGTGCTTCCCTGTGGTCAACCTGGCTTCCAGGTTCTTTGGAAGGAGCAGCAGTGTAGCTGGGAAAACAGGGTGGTGGCTTTTCTCCCCTCCCTGACACGTGTTTGTCCATCTGATTACAGAGGTGTCACCTTCAGCTTCCTCTTCGCCTGGATTCTGATTCTCTTGGTCGCTGGCACCTTTCTGATTGGGGGAAACATCCAAACGTTGGTGTGCAAACCTTGGGCCAGTCAAGAGATTTACAGAGTGAGTTCATTTGCAAAAAAACGAGCAAGTGTGCTTAGGGGTTGTTGATGAAAAGGCCTTATTTTAATGGAGCCTTGCTGTTGTTCATGTTGTTGATGTTGAGACTCTGGAAAGAGGGTAGAAAAGAACAACCAAGATGATTAGGGTGCACAATTATTTTTATTATTCAGTTCATCGACACTCCTGGCAACCTTCCGCCTTCCATGAATGTCTCTCAATACCTTGGCTTAAAGCAGAATCTCAACCTCACGTCTGCATATCAGTGAGTACCCCCTTTTCCAAGGGCATCCTTTTGCTAGAGAGTTGGACTGGCTGGCTCCCTCCAGGCCATCACCTCAAGAGGATGGCCAACATCTTGAGCCAGCCATAGGATTGCAGAGTGCACAAGAACAGAGTTGAAAGGAAACTTGGAGGTCTTCTAGTCCAATCCCTAGCAGGAAATCCTCTACCATTTCACCAAGTGGCTGTCCAGTCTCTTCTTAAAAGATTCCAGTGAAGGAGCACCCACAGCTTCTGGAGGCAAGCCATTGGTGAATTGTTCTCAGTGTTAAGAAATTTCTTCTTAGTTCTAGGTTGCCTCTCCCTTTGGTTTGTTTCCATCCATTGTTTCTCGTCCTGGTCTCGGGTGCTTTGGGGAATACGTTGACCCCTCTTCTCTGTGGCAGCCCCTCAAGTATTGGAAGACTGCTTTCAGGTCATCCCTACTCCTAGTACAAGATAGCCAAACAGGCGAAGGAGGACAAGGACAATTGGAAAGGAGGAGAAGGGAGGGAAAGAGGTAGTCCTCAACTTATGACCACAACTGAGCCCAAAATGTGTGTTGCTAAGTGAGAAATGTGTTAAGTGAATTTTGTGGTTTTTCTCGTCGCATTTGCTAAATGAGTCGCTGTGGTTGTTAAATTAGTAACAGCATCATTAAACGAGTCTGGCTTCCTCCTTGACTCTGCTTGTCAGACGGTCACAAAAGGAGATGACACAACCCCTGGACACCGCAACCGTCCTTTCACGCTAGTTGCTCAGCCTCCAAATGTAAATCACGTGACCGGGGGAATGCTGCAACAGCCATAAGTGTGAAAAACTATTGTAAGCCACTTTTTTCCAGTGCTGTTGTAACTTCAAACAGTCACTAAATCAGGGGTTCTCAACCTATGGGTCGCGACCCCATTTGGGGTCGATCGACCATTTCATGGGGGTCGCCAAGCAAGGCTGTCCGCCATTTTTTTCCCCTTTTCCGGCGGGTGCCTTACCTCCCTTGGGCTGGGCCAGCTGGTGGTCGGCCTCCTCCGTCTCTGCCGCTTGCCAGCTACGCCTCGGCCGGTGCAGGGGGCGGAACCACGCATGCACGGCACTCCCGGGCAGGGAAAGTCCTCGACTTACGACCGGTTGGGTAGTCCTCGACTTACGACCGGTTTAGTCCTCGACTTACGACCGGTTTAGTCCTCGACGTACGACCGGTTGGGGTCGCGGCATTAAAAAGGTTGAGAACCACTGCACTAAATGAACTGTTAGAAGCCGAGGGCTACCCGCATTACAATCTATTGTCCCAGCAATACTTGATTTTAAAGCTCTGCCTGCCCGATGGAGGTTCTTCTTCGCCCACTGTCTGGTAATCCTAACCTGGCGAAGCCCAACGTTAGGAAGGAGGGAGGCTGGCAGTTGTGAGTCAACCCTTATCTAGACATCTTGCATAAAGCAGGCAGTGGGAGATTGCGAGCTGGGGGTTGGCTTAAATCTCTTCCCGTCTCCTTTCAGGCAGTGCAAGAATGGTGCTAGCCTCTGGGAAGTTCTGCAACTGAAGGAGCAGTACAGCCTCAGCGAGCATCTCAGCGTTGCCAAGGTAACGAGCCTCTGGCGCATCCTTTTGCAAAGCCAGCCTCGATTCCCCTGGGAACCTTCAGGAGGATCCTGGGAGACCAAAGCTCACCATCAGACTCAGCCGTACTTCAGTCCTCGGCTTCCAGAGGATCTCAAGATCTTCCTATCAATATGGGAAGAAAACCACTGAATTCAGTCTCCTGGTTCAGGGGTAGTCAACCTTGGCTCTTTTATGACTCGTGGACTTCAACTCCCAGAATTCCTGAGCCAGCTGTGCTGGCTCAGGAATTCTGGGAGTTGAAGTCCACGAGTCATAAAAGAGCCAAGGTTGACTACCCCTGCAATACATTAAGTATGCTCCAGACTGGCAGGGCTGTTCCAGTAGCTTCTTCTGTTGAGTCGGCTGAAAATAGAATCAGAGAATCTGTTTTGCAATATCGGGTGGGATGGAACTTGAGTTTAGGCAACATCCCTCCTCGCAATATTTAAATATACTCAGTGGGGTGGGGGTGGGGGGTGGGGAGAGCATCAGCCTATCTACCTTTTTGGTAAACTCCAAAAGCTCACAACCGTATTTGTGGGGACTTTTGCACTCTTAAAGAATATTGGTCACATCTCCTTGGAGAATTCATTCCATCTTTACTATTGGAGAATTGCCGATGATTAATTTGCTCTCCCCAACAAAAAAAAAAAGGGGGGGGGATTTAAATAGAACCTTTTCCTGTTCTGTGCCCAGGCGTTCAGGATGAGTGAGGCTCGTGTTCTGAATCGTAGGCACACAACCACAGATTATGTGGAGGGTTGTACAGTCTTTTTCTTTATAAAATGCAAAGTTTAAAAAACTTTTGCCCCGAGATATAATTTTATGTGGCTGAAAGACTGTCTGGAAGATGCAGTTCTACCCTTTCAGAGTTGGCTTTTGAGGCAGAATTGTCCACAGAAGGGGGTCACAAAAGTCAGGATGGCAGCCACAACTGTGCAATCTAAGCCCTGCCCTTTTTCAATGGGCATAACAACAACAACAACAACAACAACAACAACAATAATAATAATAATATTGGAAGGGATCTTGGAGGTCATCTAGTCCAACCTCCTGCTTAAAATGGGATGGAGCCTTAATCCTTGATTGTGGTCACCATTTTGACTTTTTGGACCACTTTCCTAGAGACACTCCAGAGTGGGGAAGATAAGAGGCATCTATTCTCTTTATTATTTTTTTCCTCCCCAGAGAAAAAAATAAATTGAAAAAGCAGTAAAAACACAACCAGGGTGCTATTTCAAGCAAGAAAATGCATGGAAGGAAATGATTTAATAGCCCGTCTGATCATTTTCCAGCCACATTTTCGGCCTGTAGAAGCCTGAAGGCCAAGTGAGAATGGGGGGGGGGGGNTGCTGCATCCTTCTGCAGATAAATGATTGGGACCATGGCGTCAACTCGGGCAGTCATATTGATCAACACCAGCTCTTCCTCAGTGAGTTGAATTCCAATAAGGCCATGATTTTGAGAGATGGCCCAACATATCTGGAAGATTCCACCTCTGATAAATGAAGGCAAATATATGTGTTCAGGAAAATGTTGCAGGATCCAGTCTGGGTCAGTCAACAGCCCATCCCCAGGGAACTTCTCTCTCACCAGAATGTGAGAGAGATCCATGGAGAGAGAGAAGTCCCCAAGGATGGGCTCCAGCACAAGTCTGGAAGCTTGGAAGACAAAGCCTCTGCTCCCAGTGACTGACCCAGATTGGATCCCACCTCTGCCCCATCGTGCCCTCTTTCTCTAGAGGAAGCGTTGGAGGACGATCAACCAAAGGGTTCCTGGCAACTTTGCTTCTTATCTTTGCTGAGTTGAGTGTTGGAAAAGGTCTATTTGGTTTTTCTTGCCTAAATGTAGAACCTTACTTTTTTCACTAATGAATTTCATTTTTCTCCCCAGGCTCAATTCAACAATACCGAGTCCCAGATCACCTCTGTGGAGGCCATTCTCCCCTTACAGACCCAGAAGATCCTCAGACAGGTGAGCTAGAAGAAAGCAGGTAAAGTCAAACGGTTGTTCCCAAGAGTGTGGCTATTTGAGGAGTAATGGCACAGCTTCAGATGCCCCTCCCCCCGTTGCTCTTGAAATACTCTACTAGACTTGTCTTCCTCTATCATAATTCTGGAGGAGCCTTTCCCAAGCTGATGTCCTCCAGATATGCTAGGAGAGCAAATCCTATATATGCCAACACATCTGGAGGGCAGCAACTTGAAGGCATCTGCTTTACAGAATACACACATAGACATACATAAAACTGGACCATGCATCTGTAATTGCATCTGTTAATTGACATGGATTATGCAAGATGATTGGTACATTGAGAGGTGCATATTAATAATAAAACAGAGGAAAAGCCTGTTCATGAACAATTCTGGGCCACCCAGCGGCCCATCATGGCAAAGAAAATTATGGCTGAGCTAGGCATTATTTCTGATCCAACTTTGGGGTTCCTCTGTTGCCCTTCATCCCTTCCCACAAAACCCGTCCTCTGAAACAAGAAATTCAAGGAAGGTGGGGCTGGGAAGAACAAAGCAGGGTGGAGATGCGAAGGGAAGGAGGAAAGCNCCGACATTGCTTGGCCGACGGCACCCTGAGGAGGCCCGCTCTGTGGGAGCGTACCGGTCTATGGGAGGGAATCTGTGGCAGAAGGCGGTCTCGGAGGTAGCCAGGTCCGATGCCATGGATCGCTTTAAAGGTGGTAACTAACACCTTAAAGCGCACCTGGAAGACCACTGGTAACCAGTGCAGCTCGCGCAGCAGCGGTGTTACATGGGAGCGACGAGTCCCTCCCAACACCGCCCGCGCGGCCGCATTCTGGACCAGTTGGAGTCTCCGGGTGCTCCTCAAAGGGAGCCCCATGTAGAGAGCATTACAATAGTCCAGTCTAGAAGTCAGTCTAGAAGCAGAAATGGCAAAGAATCACAGAATCAAAGGGCTGGGAGGGACTTTGGAGGTCTTCTAGTCCAACCCCCTGCTTGAGCAGGAGACCCCGTACCATTCTGGACAAATGGTCATCCAATCTTTTCTTGAAGACCTCCAGCGATGGAACACCCACAACTCCGAGAAGCAAGCTGTTCCATTGATTAATCGTTCTCACGGCTTCCCCCAAATTCCTATAGTTTCCATCCTTCAACCATTTCATCTCCGTTAGTAAGAATTAATAGCTGTCCCTCTAGTTCCCACCTCCACCTTTTGTATGACAAAGTTGTCAGCTAGGCACCTCAGGAAACTGTTTGATCTCCCACTCGCTGCAGAGTTTAGTATTACTGATATGATTGCATTTTTCTTTGCCCAAACGCTAACAAAGTTACTGCTATGCTGGTCAAACAGTCGTGTAGCAAGCTATGAACTGAGGGCAGTCTAAAGGTAGACCTGCTGAGATCACATTATTTCAAAGTGTTCAAATTCATCTCTCTCACTCAACAATCCTGAACAGGGGAATTCTGGGAACTGAAGTCCATACATCTTAAAATTGCTGCAGTTGAGAAAGTGCTGCCTAAGAATTGTAATAAGGGTCTTCTATGACACATTTTTCTGCTTTGTATTGTTTTATTATTGTCTTTTTTTGTTTTTCTTTTCTTTTCTGGAAATAAAGTAAAAGTTTTACTGAAGAACTAAGGATCTTTCTTGAAGTCCATCAGCTACTCAGTAGAGGTTTCCTGTTGGAAAATTCAGGACGTTGCATGATCTGCCCACAGCGGTTCTAAATTCATGAATTGATTAAGTGGATCCTGATTAAAAGTTGGATCACCCAGAACTAAAATTGGCTTGCTGGATCTTGCTGCTTTTGTTGTCCAAACCTGGAACTGGGCACTGTAATCCTATAAAAGGAGACAGATGACCCAGATCTAAAATATGGCTATTCACAGAACCATAGATAATAGACTGCTGCTAGTTGGTCTATCTGTAGAAAAAAAAACATTTGCATATTTTTGTTGATGGAAATTGTCCTTGGTTTAGAAGACTTTTGATCAAGAGGGGGAGAAATTGCAGGAGAAAATGGGCTTCTCTGACAAATTCTTTTACAAACTCTGCTTTTAACTCAATTTTCCTTTTGCTTCAGGAGTTGGACTGCTTTGTAAGGAAAGAGTTGGGCTACATCTCCCAGTACCTGGACTGGATGAGGACCACGGTGAGGACTGGCTTCCCTTACAGTACTCAGATGCCCCTGGGTCAGCAGATCCTGATGTTGCTCAGAGTGATGGTGGCCTCTGGGTGGGCAGGCACAGTTGGCTGACGATGGCAGCGATTACACACAAGTTCCCATGTTGTTTGCTTGGACAAAGTATGGATGTGATTGGCCATTGTTTTCTTCTGAGAGGTTTCCCATCCAAAGCAATTTCCGAGTGTGTAGACTTCAAATCCCAGAATTGCACAGCCAGCATGGCTATGGATGAGAATTCCGGGGTTTGAAGCCCACACTCTTGGACGTTGCCAAAGTTCCTAAGTTGCTAAAGCGTTTGAGCCTTGCTGAAGAGGATCCAGCCTCCAATCGACGCTCCCTGTGGGGCCAAAGACCTGGATGGAACATTGTGGCTCCAGACTCTGAGCAAAGTCGATGTGCAAATCAGCAATTACAAAAAAATATTCCCTTGTTTTGTTCCAGTTGACTGAGGATGTTGCTTCCTGCCAGCCTTTTTCCATCGCTCTGGACAATGGCTGGGTGATCTTGTGCAATCGCATTGTGGATCCTTGGGTAAATCTTTCTGCCATCTAGCAAAACCCTTCCATCTTCTTTCCTGGCCCGTTTAGTGAGCCGAGGACTACCTTTATAGTATTCAGTTATTTAATCAATGAACATTTGAAAACTTTAACCTAATTCAGGGGTCTTCAAACTTGGCCCTTTTATGACTTGTGGACTTCAACTCCGAGAATTCCTCAGCCAGCAACTCCCAATTCTGGGAGTTGAAGTCCACAAATCATAAAAGGGCCAAGTTTGAAGACTCCTGACCTAATTCTATCTACTTTGTGCTTTATTTTCTCATTGTTTGACTCTTTCTTTCTTTCTTTTTCTTAAAAAAATGTTTAATCAAAACAGAGTTAAAGGGGATGGGTGGGTGAGACTTTGATAGTGTTGTTGTGGCCCCTATCTTGACTTTGGGGACCCCTGAAGTCCCCTTTGGAGGACACAGACTATATACCAGAGATAGAGGATTTTCCCTCAATGCCAGGGGAAAGAGACCCCCCCCCCTTATACTTTGTTGATGTATGCCTTTCCTTTCCTCCAGAATGCCTTTTGGTTCAGCTTGGGAGGGTGCGCCTTCTTCCTTCTTTGTGGCATGCTTTTCGCCCTCAAGATGATGAAGCATTTTCGACCAATTCGGCACAAATTAGTGTAAGTGGCATTACTGTAAAAGATGGCATGCAGATGGTTCTTCACATTATTGTTCTTGCTATGATTATGGTTTGTCTCACAGTCCAGACTGGATTTGGCATTTTATTCACCTATCGAATCCTTCCCAAGGACCTGGGAGAGGCAGATGTGGCGGTTTGATGGGGTTAAAGGTACAGTATTGTCGCAGGATGGAAGCTGTTCCGAGTAAAGATGCCTTTTGCAATTGACTGAGGGTGATTTTTGTCAATGCCAAGGGTGTTCAAGTGGTGCTCCAGTTCTTTGGGATTGCAATCAAGGCACCTATCACTATTGATACTTCCTTTGTTTTCTTTTATCACGGTTATTCTAATTCTATTTACAGGCCTTTGTATTTCGTGATTTTCTCCAGTTCTTTCCCTTCTATTCTGTTGTCTCCAGGTACTGCCACGTCCACTATCCAAACATTTTTTTTTGTCTTTCTTATCAGCAGTTGTTAAATCTGGAGTGTTAGGTGCCTGTCTGTTTGAATTCTAAAGACTGAGAGACTGTAGCATTTTTATTTTCTATTACTTTGTCTATTTTGTGGTCCCACCAGTTCTTGCACAGTCAAAAAAGCTAAGGGAACAGCCACAATGCTGCAACTGAAGCTTTGCTTACTTTTGATGGGCGTGATAACATCCATGTGCCATGCACGGTGGCACTGTTGCGGCTGCCATTTTGACTTTTTTGACCACAGCGGGCGGACAGCCCTGTTTCCTAAGAAAATAATAGAATTTGCTTTCTCTTCTGCTCTGTTTAGTTCTACTGGATCAGATGAAACGTTTCCCTTCCACATCCCACGAGTCACGTCTCTGCGACTGTAAGACCTCCATCCCCCGCCCCAGGATGACCACCTGCTGAGGGGGCCAAGGGTTGCTACTTGCAGGAGGTGCTCTTCGCTCCGTCTTCCCAAAAGCATCCTCCTCCCAGAACTGCAGAACTGAGGACAGGACTGTTTCCAGGAGAGCTTTGCCCGCCTCCAATTCCCAATGACCCTTGTTGAAATTGGATAACAAAAGTTTGTGGTTAACGATGCTCCAAACACATGTTGAGTCTGAAGTTGGAATGGCCCCAACATTTGTAAAAACCTGGCTATTGGGACTTAAATGCTACTCATCTCCCAGCGCCATTATGTTTGTTTTTTTTAAATTGATACAGGTAGTCCTTGACTTACAACCACAACTGAGCCCAAAATTTCTGTTTCTAAGCAAGATAGTTAAGTGAGTTTGCCCCATTTTACGTCCTTTCTTGCCACAATTGTTAAGTGACCCCTCACTTGCAGGAGAGTGAGTAAAGTTGTGGATGATGACCATTTTGATCCAGTTCCTCTTGGTTTGGATGCACTCCTGAGTAAATCCAGGTTTTATGTGGCAGGATTAGAATGATCAACAGGACAGGGGAGGCATCTCAAATGACTGAAAGCTCTTTCTGCACCTAGCAGGACTTTTCTTTTAAGGGGTGAAGTGTCCCCAAAGGGTCTCCAAGTTGTAATTGCTGGGAGATAGGGCTGCCCAAATCAGGAAGAGTCATCAGTGACATCCAACTTGTTCTGTTCAGCTGAAAGCAGCTTGAGACTTTAGGGATGCGATTTATTTCTGAAACTCTGAGTGGAAGAGTCAGAGCTAATCTTGTTACTGCAGGGAACAAGCTTTCTCTCTGCCATGACCTCACTCCCATGCGGAGAGGAATTAGATAAATTTGCTCCAAGTGCCAACATATAACTGATTGTCCCCAGACTGGCACCCAAATTGAAAATAGAACAGATTTAAAATTTGCAGCCCTCCAAATATTGCAATGCGCTCTCTCAATAATCTATTTTAAAAGTGTATTGGGGAAAGTGTGTATATTCACAGATCTGATGTGTTAAGAGTTATTGCAATATGGAAAATAATTTGCAAAAACAATGTATGTTAAGCAATCTTGCAGAGAAAGAAACATATATTTGAAGAAATATATATCAAACTGGAGGCAGGGTGGGGGCAAAAAGAATTGGATATGTTTGCAAAAATTAAAAAACGAGATAAAATGAGCTACTTTGACTTCTATTTTCATCTTCATGTTGGTTGATCTTAAAACCTGCTCTTGCAGCAAAAATTTTTATTTTTCATATTAATGTTTTAATTTCCTTTGAAGACTCTTCCAAAACCAACAGCAAGTTATCTGCAAAAGCCCTTAACTTGTAAGTTTATTTTTAGATCTTTACTGCCACAATCCTTTCATCTTGTCTCACATCTCTACTCAGAATTTCAAGAACCGAAATAAACAGGAGAGGAGACAGTGGCATCCTTATCTTATTTCTTTTTATATCTCATGGACGTTTTTTCTTAGATCAATTATTTGTGTTTTCTGTGAAGTGTCAATAGATCTCACCCATTTTATAAAGTTCTCTCCAAAATTAGTATCTTCCAAAATCTTGAACAGGAAAACCCAGTTTGATTGTCACGGGCTTCTTTGCATCTAAGAAAATCAATGCGGCTTGTTTTTCATTATGCTGCTCTAAATATTCCAAAATGTCCAATCATTTTTAACACTATCTTTTAACTGCCTTTTAGGTAAAAATCTACATTGATCCTCATGAGTGAATTCTAACCAAATTATGTTCAGTCTATCAGCTGGTATCATGGTGAAAAATTTGTCCCTCTTTAGGTGTTAATGGCTTCTTTCAGGGTCTTTCCTGCCTGTTTTATAAAGATTATAAAAAGTTCATCCTCAAAACATTTATAATGGGCACCCGGTGCAGGTAGTCCTCTACTAACAAGCGTTCATTTAACAACCCCTCGGAATTACAAGAGCACTGCACACAGTGTCTTGTGACAGGTCCTCACACTTACAACTGTTGTAGCATCCCCACGGTCACACAATCAAAATCTGGGCACTCGGCAACCAGTGTCTTTACAACGATTGTAGTGTTCCCAGATGGATTCTGGCAAGCCAAATCAATGGGAGAAGTTGGATTCTGCTAACGACTGTGTGATTCACTTCAAAACCGTAGTGATTCTTTAACAATTGTGGCAAAAAAAGATTGGGAAATCAGGCACGACCCCTCTAACCCTCTGCTTAGCAACAGAAATTCTGGTCCCAATTGTGAGCATCTGCTGAGGCCACCTGTAATCCATCTGGTCCAGGTAACACACAGTGTTAAGTCCGGAGAATAATGGCGCTTGAGGCGAAGCATTTCTAACAAGTCTTTATTCTCTGCTTCCAATCTACGAACAACGACAAGCCCAGAGGCACGCAAGCCTCTATATATACCCTCCGATCCCCGGGCAATTTCAACCAATCACAAGGCAGTCCTTTCCCGCCTTGCGCATGTGCGCAAGGCCGGCGCCGCTCAGTCTGGTCCCGGGCAGCTTTTGCAAATGCCCGGGACTCTTGCAACTTCCCGCGCCTGTTTCTGCAGGCACGGGACACAACACACAGAGTCCCAAGAAATTCAACCTAACCAAGCTTTGTAGCTTCTGCAGGAGGGCTGCCTTTGATCTGGCTGTGTTGTGTGAATGGGGCCAACATGTGAAGCATCTGTGAGAGCGCACCCCTGCATTTGGTTTGGAGACAGCCTCCCCCCCCCTCTCTCTCTCCTTCCCTCGCCCTCTCTCGGGTACACAGAAGTGCAGGCTAAAGTGCCTATTTTTAGCAATGGCTCTTTCCATGCAGCTACAGCCTTCCAGATGTGGCACTTCTCTCACAGTATAGGTGCTCTCCAAACCCTTGCCGTTGTGCATCCTGACTTCTTTCAAAACATTGGCCGTAGTTATAAATTAGGGCATTTTTAAAACCAAAAATTGGCAGCAAGAATTTCAGTTGGATGTCTTGTTTCTGAGAGCATCTCGTAACTGAAAGGTAAGAGATGGCTGGAGAAAAATATACCTAAAGAGCATCGATTTGTTAATGAGGAGTTTGCTCAGTTTACTTTTTTAAAAAAAGAATTTTAATTATTGCCCATTTTCCCACTATTGTTTTGCTAGCAAGGGGCCATCCAGCCTCATCCCTGCTAAGACGTTATTTGAAAAAGCTTCTGGTTTTTAAGCTGCAGCAGCAGAATGAAGCCGTATCCGCCCAGGACCAGGTTATAAATGTCTCCCAGCTTTTGAACACGCTGTTTGCAAATGATGCCGAAGAACAAAGATCTCCTCTGTGCTCATAACTGGTTCTGTTTCTGCTCAGTGGCCTGTAATGAATCGTGGCTGACCGTGCTGAAGTAGCTGGCTCAGGAATTCTGGGAGTTGAAGTCCATGAGTCATAAAAGAGCCAAGGTTGTCTACCCCTCTACTAAGCTAAACACCAGCCTTGGGCACCATCTATATTTGCACCCACCCTGAGGACACTGTTAGAAAATAAAATCTGACAGTTTATACTCTAAGGCCATGTGTGCTTCTCCTATTTGAATATTTGGAGGCTGGTTGGCAGCTGCGTTAGCTAGAATGCCAACAATATGTTCTCGGATTCTAAATTCTAGTTGTACCCCCAAAATGGTGGGATGCTGTTTCCTGCTTAGAAATAGATTTATACTAAATAACAGAGGTGGAGGGGACCTTGGGGGTCTTCTAGTCCAACCCCCTGTTGCAGCAGGAGACCCTATATCATTTCAGACAGATGGCTGTGCAGTCTTTTCTTTAAAAAACTCCGGCGATGGAGCACCCATAACTTTCAGGGGCAGTGCCCCGCAGCGGATCAAGAAAATAAAAAATCCAGCTGCTTTTGGAGAAAAAAAGGTTGCTTCTTCTCTTGGAGGAAACTTGAAAATCCAAAAGGAAAAGATTTGTTATAGAAAGGGCAAGGCAAAAAGAAGCCTCTTCTCTTTTGATGGCAAAAGAGAGAGGTTTTGCATTGTCTCTCAAAGGACAAAGCTTGCCTTGTTTGTGACAGCGATGCTTTTGATATCAGCACAAACAGCACAACAAAAGATCAGCTCCAGCTTTTGCAGAATCCATCCTTACCTGGCGCTCAGATCTGCCTCTCCTGTTTCATGCCTTTGCCTGGCACTCCACACGGATGGTTTTATTAGGTTAATTGGGCATGCCCACCTGCCAGCTTGAAGAAGACCAAAGGAATAACAGAATAACAGAGTTGATGCTTCAGGATTTTTTTTGCAATTTAAGAAAAAATCCTTTTTACAATAATTGCATTATGTTGTTGGTGTTTTTTTCTTGTATTTGGTCTTGGACTGTAAATACGTTGTGATCGATTGGTACTTTCTATCAACTTTGATCTAATTCTGCAAAATGGGGAAGGCGGATTACCTGCCTCCTCCCTCTGTGCTCCGTCGACGGAGCAGATATGATCCTGTTTAGACTCCTAAAGGAAAGACAGTTTGGTGTAGTGGTTAAGACACCAGTCTAGAAAGCGAGGGAGTTCTAGTCCTGCCTTAGGGACGAAGCCAGCTGTGTGGCCCTGGGCCAGTCAGTTTCTCTCAGTCCTAGGAAGGAGATAGTGGCAAACCACTTCTGAAAGACCTTGTCAAGAAAATGGCAGGAAAGAAAGAAAGGAAGGAAGGAAGGAAGGAAGGAAGGAAGGAAGAAAGAAAGAAAGAAAGAAAGAAAGAAAGAAAGAAAATTAAAGACTGATGGACATCTGTCAGAGATGCTGTACTAAGTGCAGCACTAAGCAAGGGGCTGGTTTAGATGTCCTCTAAGGTCCCTTTCATCTCTAGGATGCTGTGAGTCTCAGATTTCCTCCCAATTTAATTCACGTTGCATAAACTCCCAATTGTTACTCGGACAGAACAAATTCTGTCTTATCCAGCAAGGGCGTTTACGCATTTGGGTTCTTTATGTTGTGTGAATCCAACCTCAGAAGACCCGGGGGGGGGCCTTTCTCTTCTCCTCCTTAAGGCGTGCAAACCTCTCTCCCCCCAAAACGCCGGGGAAGCCTCTCGTGGCTGCTTGCCGGACACGCGAGACGCCGCAGAGACGCCCCCGCAGCCCCACGCGCGCCCAGCAACCGCCCAGAGCCGCCAGACCCTCCAAGCCAGACCCGGCTGGCCTCCACCTGCCTTTGCCTGATGGGGGCGCCTCACCTGGGCAGAAGCTCACCTGTCGGGCGATGCAGCCGCGAGGCGGGCGTGGGAAAGGGCCCCACGCGTGCCCCCTGGGCTGCAGGGGCTGGGGGAGGCTCGCCCGGGGCGGGGGGGG